CAAAAAAAAAAAAAAAAAAAAAAAAAAAAAAAAAAAAAAAAAAAATCAAATCATCTGAATATGTATGGAGCAAGAATTTTATGGAAGAGAAAGTCAAGGTACAAAGAAGTTTTTTAAATGCCTAGGATCAGCCAAGGTGGTAACACATGCCTATAATCCCAGGACTTGGGAGGCTGAGGCAGGAAGATTGCCAGGAGTTTGAGGCCAGCCTGGGCTACATACAGGTAAGGCCAGCCTGAACTACATAGTGAGATACTGTATCAATATATAGATAGGTACAGTATGTATACCTATCTATCTATCTATATATATATATATATACTATATCTATCTAAAATATATATATATATACGAAATGCCTAAGTTTGCTGGAAAAATATACATATCCGAAATCTAGCTACTCAGGAGGTTGAAGCAGGAGGGTAAGTGTGAAGCCAGACTGGGCAACTTAGTGGAATCCTGTCTCAAAAATAAAAAAGTCTGGGAGAGACCAGAGATTTCGCTCAGTATTACAGCACTGTGCCTAGCACGCAGGAAGCCCTAGGAGGGTAAGTGTGAAGCCAGACTGGGCAACTTAGTGGAATCCTGTCTCAAAAATAAAAAAGTCTGGGAGAGACCAGAGATTTCGCTCAGTATTACAGCACTGTGCCTAGCACGCACGAAGCCCTGGGTTCACAAAAAGCCTAGTATCACACACACAAAAAGGGCCTGGAGACGTGGCTCAGTGGTAGAGCACTTGACTAGCACGTGAGCAATGCTGGGTTCTACCTCCAGCACTGTCAGGAAAAAAAAAAAGAAAAAGCCTGAGATCACCCAGCTTGGTACCTGGGTTAGGCTTTGACCTTGCTGTCTGGTTCCAGAACCCGCTTAGAACCTCCACCCATACCTCCCAGTGCCCTAAAGACGTCCAGGGAGGCAGCAGAGGCCGCTGGCTCGATGGCGCACGGGGGGAAGAGTCTGGGAGTTGAGGCCTGGAAGTCACAAAGGGGAGGTAACTTGGCCTGGCGGAGGTGTGGGGTGCCCACGGGCCTGGGAATGAGTGCCCGCAGAGCGGGAAAGGAGCAAGAGTCAGAGTTTCCCCGAGAAGTGAGGACACGGCGACGGAGGAAACCACAAGGCTGAGCCACAGAGCTCCCTGCCCGCGTGGAGGAAGCAGCGCACGCTGCGAGTGTAGACAGCTCCTGTCTGTGTATGGGGACAGAGAAAGGTCGCGGGGGCTGTGACCTGAGGAGGGAAGCCAGGCGGAGTAAGGGGATAGCAGGGCAGGCAGGCGTGGGAGCGGATGGGCCCAAGTCCAGCAGGACATCGCAGGAAAGACACAACTGGACAGGGTATCTTATTAAAAAATTTTTTTAGGTGTAGGGCAAGTGGGAAGGGTAGGGGAAAGGAAATAAGGGACAAGGAAAATATGAGAAAAGGAAAAATAAAAATTTGTAAATAGGGGAGATTGGAGAGGGTGAAGGGAGGGAAGGGGTATGGGGAAAAAATGGAAACATTAAAAACAATTTTTTTAACAAATAGCCCGAGACAGGGAATCGGGGAAGAGGGAGGCGGGGAACTGAGGCTCCGGCTCCACAACCCCTTCACACCCAATCTTTTCCCCTTTATAGACCTGCCGGGGAGGGGGAACTCCCTCAGCACAGTGTGGGCCATCCAGGCTCCTTGTACTCTCAGGGCCCAAGTTCTTGCGTTCTGTGGGAAGGCTCTTTTCCAAAAAGGTCCTTGGGCAAGGTATCTTTTTGTTGTTGTTGTCTGGTTTGGTTTGTTTGCTTGGTTTTTTGAGACAGGATCTCTCTATGTAGTTCAGACTGTACTGGACCTCACTATGTAGCCCAGGCTGGCCTTGAACTCGTGGCGATCCTTCTGCTTCAGCCTCCCAAGTGCGATTACAGGCGTGCACCGCCACTCGTAGCAGACAGGCTATCTTCTTGTGTTGCTGAGACATGGCGGAATGCAGAGGTCTTGGTGGTGCAGGCTTAGAGACTCGGAAGGGGACGCATGACCCGTGGTCCCCAGGAGTTGAGGACCCTGAGACGGAGTCCTAAGAGGCAGCCAAGAGTTTCTGACCTGCGACTCCCAAGAAGGAACTAGGAAGCCTTTCCTGGGTGGGGCCGGGATAGATGAGGCTGTGGAACCAGCCAGACAGGAAAGGAAAGGCAGGAGGTACACAGGAGCCCTGGCAAGGGCTGGAGCTGCAGGGGCCCTGGGGAGAGTGGGTCCCGGAGAGGAGTCCACTGCTGTGCTGTGCTGGGGAACCCCCCGCCCAGTCCTCCTCAACGACCTCTGGGAATTTGAAAGGCCAGGCCGGATCCCTCCCACCAAAGTCCATCCCAAGGCCACTCACCCTGCCCTCTTCTCAGACCAGGAACCTGTTTCTCCCTTCATATCAGTGCCCCCCTCCTCAGCACAGGCTCAGGTGACGCCCTAGAACCTGCTCTTCGAGGATACCTTCCTCTCCACTCCCCCAATACACACACAGGCACACACACACACACACACACACACACACACTCACTGGAGCACAGAAAATGGGACACGCGGCTACCTCTGGATTATTTATTCACATGGCTTGGCACGGTATAGGCACTCCTGCCGATAAGCAAGGCAGGCCTCCTGCCCCTGCCCTGGTCAGCTTCTCAACTCCCAGCCCTGAGGGTTAGTGCTCATAATCTCACACACATAAAATGGGGACAGGGGATGAGGGACGGGGAGGTGCAGGAGAGGAGTCTCCACGTGCCCAGGCCTTCAGACGGCAGCTGCCTGAGCCCCTTCTATCCTGGTAGGGCCTGAAGCCCCTGTCTCTGAAAACCCCACACTGGGCAGCCGAACTCTGAACCCACCCTCTTCTTGGTCCCCACTCCGGGCCTTAGGGCTTAGGCTCACCCTGGGGAAGCGGAACTTGGGTGACTTCTCGCCAACAGGAGATTTGGGGGATACCTCACCCCCCTGTCCCCGAGAGGCCTTAGAAGGGGCTGCCAGGCCCACACGGGGCAAGCGGACCCTAACATGGCCCCGGCGTCCTGAGGCCCCTTCCCCAGCGCCCTCTTCCTCCTCCTCCTCCTCGGGGCTGGGGGAGCCTTCTCCAGGGACAGACTCATTTTGGCCGAAGCCCACTCGGGGCAGCCTGAGCTTCGGGCTCTTGGCCTTCTCACCTTCTTCAACCCCGTCCTTGGCCCGCACCAAGCCAAACCTCGGTAGCCGCACCTTGAGCTTGTGTGCGGCCTCCCCATTGTCCTCCGCCACCTGGTACTCGGCGTGGCTGCCCACAGCGGGTGGCGAGAGCTCCACGTCAGGCAGCGAGAGGCGGAAAGTGCGCTCAGTCCCAGGGGACAGGTCCTCCGCCCTCTCTACCCCGGCCCCCGCCCCCAGGGTGGGCAACTTGAGGCTCAGCCCACCCTCACCCACCTCATCCGCTTGCACCTTGGGGCTCAGCCCCACATCCAGCTCAAGCTGGGGCACGTTCACTCTGGGCATCTTGAAGACGCCTTCACCCACCAGCAGCTCACCACCTGCTGCCTGGCTTCCAGGCAGAGCCAAGCTCACCTGAGGGACCTGGACCCTGCAGCTGGCAGTGCCCTCTGCGGAAGGCACTGTGCTCTCAGCCTGCTGTCCCGGGGCACCCATCCCCCCGAAGCTGGTCAGCTCCACCTGGGGCAGGGAGATGCCCAGTGGGGGCATCTTCAGCACGCCATCATGGCCCTCGGTGGCTTGCATGGCTGAGAGCTGCACTCCACCGGTGGCCCCCACCCCCTGCTTGCCCTCTTCCTCCTGGGCCACCATAGTGACTAACTCCACCTCGGGCAGCTTCAGCTGCCCAGCTATGGACTCTAGCTTCTCTCCAGGGCTAACACGCCCACCCTGGACTTCTGCTTCCTTCCCTCGGGCTAGCCCAAAAGAGGGCATCTTCAGCTTGGGCATCCTCACTTTCCCATCCCAGCCCCAGCCCTTGCCCCCCAACTCAGCTGCCCCCAGCGCTGGTTCTACCTCAGTTTCCCGGCCTCGGGCCCCAAACTTTGGCAGAGCAAACTTGGGCGCCTTGAGCCTAACTTCAGGCCCTACCACCTCCACTTTGCCCGAGGGCAGATGGGCGTCCAGGCTGAGCTGCGGGATAGACAGATCAAGGGCGGGCAGCAGGCCCACTTCCCCTGCCCCTTTGGCCTCAGTTTCTGTTCCCACCCGAGCCTTGGGGAGTGAGATGGAAAACTTGGACACTTTCAGCCTGGTGGCCCGCCCAGCCCCCTCGGCCTCTGCCTTTGCCACCTTTGGCCCCGAGAGTCCAAACTTTGGCAGGGAGAATTTGGAGGAGGTCTTGACTTTCATCTCTGCCATCTCTAGCCGCCCTTCTTCTCCTTCCACTGTGGGTATCTGTGGAGTGACGATCTCAACCGAAGGCACTCGGAACACTGCTGCCCCAATGCCAGCTTCCACCCCAGGACCCTCCGGCCACTCCACCTTGCCTGCTTCTGCCGCCCGGACCTGTCCCTCCAGGCCAAGGGCGCCCGGCAGGTCAAGCTCCACAGAGGGCAGAGAGAGGGAAGGGGCGCCCACAGGAGCCTCACCGCCCACCCCTGGCTGCAGACAGGGAAGCGTCACTGACTTCACTGAGACTTCACCGCCTGCCCTTCCTGGTGTGCCTGGAGACCCTACCCTTCCTAACTTGGGCATGGCCATCTTGGGCATCTTGAAGCCAAATTCTGTCCCCTCTGCCTGCTCTACCACAGCAGCTTTTAGCTGCACCTCTGGAGTTGCCAGCAGCTTCACCTCCGGTGCTTTGGGAAGATGCACATCCGGGACCTTTGGCAGTTGTATTTCGGGCAGCCGAACCTCTGACACTCTTGGCAGCTGCACCTCCGGGAGGTGCACGTCAGGCACAGCCATCTCGGGTACTTTAGGGAGTTTTATCTCTGGCAGCTTCATTTCAGGGAGTCTCAGATCGGGGACTTTCATCTCTGACACCTTTGGCAGCTGCACCTCTGGCAGCCGAACCTCGGGCACAGCCATCTCCGGGACCTTGGGAAATTTCATTTCCGAGACTTTGGGCAGCTGCACCTCTGGCAGCCGAACCTCGGGCACAGCCATCTCCGGCATCTTTGGGAGCTTCATCTCTGACACTGTGGGCAGCTGCACCTCTGGCAGGTGCATGTCAGGCACAACCATTTCAGGAACCTGCGGGAGCTTCATCTCGGGCAGTTTCATCTCGGGGAGCTTCATCTCTGGAACTTTGGGCAGATGCACCTCTGGCAGGTGCATGTCAGGCACTGCCATCTCAGGCATCTTCGGAAGCGTCATCTCAGGGACTTTCACCTCTGGGACTTTGGGCAGCTGCACGTCTGGGAGCCGCACTTCTGGCACAGCCATCTCAGGCACCTTTGGGAGCTGCACCTCTGGGAGGTGCACATCTGGAAGGGCTGCCTCAGGCACTTTTGGGAGCTTGACCTCGGGGGCCTTCGGGAGCTTCACTTCAGGCCCTTTGGGCACCTTGACCTCAGGCCCCACAGCTCCAATGCCAAAGGAGGGCATCTTGATGGTGGGCAGCTTCAGCCTGCTCTCAGGAACTTCAGGGGCAGAGGGCCGGGGCTCCAGGAGAGAAAGCCCAAAGGTGGGCATTCGAAGTCTGGGACCCTTCATCCTGGCCTCAGGGCTGCCCTTGGTCACCTTGGTGGCAGCAACTTCCTTCCCTCGGGCCCCAAAGCGGGGGAAGCTGAGGTGAGGCATCTTCAGGGCCACCTCAGGAACCTCTCCTGGGGCCTCTACCTCCTTGCCCGGCAAGGCCAGATCCACCCCTACAGTGGGTGCTGCCACATCCAGGGTGGGCACCGTCACCACGGCAGCCCCCTCCCGGGTCTCCAGGCAAGGCAGCGTGGGCAGCGTGGGCAACGAGGGCAAGGTGGGCAGCTCCACTTGGGGGACCTGGATCCCTGTTGGTGGGGGCTCCACAGCAGGTGCTGCCAGGGCTCCTAACCCAAGAGTCGGCAGACGGAGGTCAAAGCCACTGGGCATCTCCACAGAAGGGGCCACCTTGGGGGCTGACACCTGAGGGACACCTGCCTCAGCACCTGGCAGCCGGGGCCCAACCAGCTCCACCTGAGGGGTTGTAAACCGAGCTCCTGCCACCACCTCAGCCTCTGCTTTGGCCTTTCTGGGGGGAGGCGCGGCAGCAGCCAGCCTCTCTGTCTGGGGCTCTTCAGCCACTTCTCGCACACGCAACCGGGGCAGCTGGAGGCGCCGGTGGACAGAGGCAGCTGGGCCAGGACCCTTGACTGCCTCGGCTTTGAGGCCCCGACGCAGGCGGGAGAACTTGGGAAAGGAGAACTCGACGTCAACGGGGGCCAGGTCTGCAGGGGCCCCCAGGGCCCCAGGCAGCACCACCATCTTCTTCTTCTTCACAGGGGACAGACTCTGGATGTTCTGGGGAGAGAGGAGAGAGGCAGGAGGCGGTGGAATAGTGGGAGGCCGGGAGTGGACAGAGGGAGACCTGCATGGTATTGGATCAGGCTGGGGATACAATGAGTAGAATACCGTGACCGCAAAACACCATCCCCACTTCCTGCCTGTCATTTCACCCGGGGAAGGCAAAGACACTCATTTAGAATCCCACAGGAGTCAACAAGTGTCTAGGGATCGGGACCCAAAACGTCTGGGACCTCATCTAGGAATTCCCCCAAAGTTCTTATTGTAGAGATGTGGAAACTGAGACCCAAGGAGGGAAAGCAGCGATTCCTGAGCAGCACTCAGGATGGGATCTGGCCTTCCTGCTTCTAAGTACCCCTAGTGACTCTGGATCCGGTGGTGGAGATGCCTCTCCAAGATGGGTGAGGGCCGCACACTGGGATAGGCGGGCCCCCTCCCCGAGGGAGGAGTTTGGGGATGGGATTAGCATCGGGTTAGTGACAAGACAGAGGGCAAAGCTGGCCAGCCTGGTGGGTGGTGGGGCTCACGGCGCAGAGACAGGATCGCTGGGGCAGTCCGGGGCCGGGGCCGGGCTCAGCACGCGTACCAGCTTGGCCACCTTGGCCCGAGGGCCCTTCATCTCGTAGCCAGCCACGGTCCCGGGCCGCAGCGCCAGGTCCCCGGTGGGCACCGTGCGCTTCAGGCAGAAGGAGACCTTGTAAGGCTCGGCGCATTGCAGCAGACGTAGTGCGTCCTCGTACTTGAAGTTCTCAAAGAACACGCGTGCACTCAGAAGCTGGTCCCCTGCAGGAGAGGCCAAGGTGGGTGGGGCGGAGCCATCTCCCAGTCCCGCCCACTTGCTCCTGGCAGCCCCATAGAGGCCCCACCCACCCCCAGCAAAGGCCTGAGACGTGAAGTTCCACCCACTCAGGAACAAAATCCCTCCATTCAGGGAGCCACAGAACCACTCTCTGCCACTCAGGCCACACCGGCCGCCTTTCTACTCCCCTACCCCATCCCCACAGTGCAGATACTGACTTTGGTTCCTTCACTGAGAGAACAGAAGCAGAAGCTCACTTCCGCACACTCCCCGCCCCACCCTGGAATCTCCCTGGTGGAGATTGGCTCCAGGGTCCTAGGGATGAACTGTTCCCACACCACAGAGCTCAGTCCCCACCACCTTCCTCAGAACACCCTTCAGCAACTCTCCCCTCTTCGGCATCACCAGCCCATTTGGGAGGGTGTGAGAAAGGGTCTCAATATGCAGTTCAGGCTGGCCTTGAATTCACTATATAGCCCAAGCTGCCCTCTAACCCCACCAGGTGATCTTCCTGCCTCAGCCTCCCATATGTTGGGATCACAGGCATGTGCCACCAAACCTAGCTCCCAATGCTTTATTCTTTTCTTATTTATTGTGCCAGGGATCAAACTCAGGCCCTTGGGCTTACAAGGCAGGCAGCAGAACCAATGAGCCAAATCCCTGGCCCTTATTCTTTATTTTGAGATAAACTGTCACTAAGTTTCTAAAGTTGTCCAGGTTGGGCTTGAACTTTCCACCCACCCCACCCACCCCACCCCACCCTGCACCTCAGGCTCCCAGAGGGCTGGGATTACAGATGTGCACCACCACACTCAGCTCCTGAACCCTTGTTTTTGTTTTGTTTTTGGTACCAGGGATTGAACTCGGGTCCTTGTGCTTTTGAGGCAAGCGGTGGAACCACTGAGCCAAATCCCCAGCCCTCAGCTCCTGAACTCTCTCAGACACACAGATGCAGGGCTCAGGTCTTGGACTCGTCTCTGTATACACACGACATTCACCATTTTGGAATTGTCAGGAAGCTCATCCAGATTGAGTAGCTGAAGGGTCACAAATCTACTGACAACCAGGCAGTGTTTCTTCGGCCCAGCACTGCCCCACACACTCTGGATTCACTGGGGATCCCTCAGTGAGGGTTCTGGGATGCCCTCTCAGGTGTGCCTGTGGGTGCTCAAGTCCAGTGTAGAAAACAGCATAATATTTGCATTTAACCGTGCACATCCTCCTGTATACCTGAAATCACCTCTGCCTTACTTATACTAGTTAATACCATGTGAAGATCATATAAATAGTTGTTACAGTCTGTTGTTCAGGGACAAGAAAACAAGTCTGGACACATTCAGTACAAATGTAATTTTCTCTGCTCAGATGCAGAACCCACAGATGCACAGGGTGCACAGTGTATCGGCTGCCCCGGCCCATTCTCACCTGCACATCCAACAGACACCTCTCACTCGAGTCAGCCCAGTACACATCTAGACAAATGAGCACCAGCCTCAGAGCGCCCCCTCGTAGGACTAGCAATCCCACCCTCTGGTCACGAGCCTGAGGCATCCATGACCATAGTTGGCTGTCATGTCCCATGTCTGGTCCTGAAGGTTCCTCCTTCAGAGTCTGTCCAGAAGCTGCCTCCTGCTCTTCACCAACACCCAGTAGCCCCTTTGCTGGTCTCCCTGCTCCCAAGCCTGCCCCCTCCAGTCCTTGCAAGTGCAAGGTCCTGAATTTGATACCCGGTACCGGGAAAAAAAAAAATCAAAAAGTCCTCACTATGGCCTATGAAGCCCTCCAAAAGTCACCCCTCCCCCTGCCTCTCTGACCTCATGATTCCTTTTTGTTTGTTTGCTTGTTTGCTTTTTTTTTCTGAGACAGGGTCTCACTATGTAGTTGAGACTGACCTGGAACACTATGTAGCCCATAAAAAAAATCAAAAAGTCCTCACTATGGCCTATGAAGCCCTCCAAAAGTCACCCCTCCCCCTGCCTCTCTGACCTCATGATTCCTTTTTGTTTGTTTGCTTGTTTGCTTTTTTTTTCTGAGACAGGGTCTCACTATGTAGTTGAGACTGACCTGGAACTCACTATGTAGCCCAGGCTGGTCTCAAACTCACAGTGATCCTGCTGCCTCAGCCTCCCAAGTGCTGGGATTACAGGTGTGCGCCACCACACCCGGCGCTTGCTTGTATTTTGAGATAGGGTCTTGCTGTGTAGTTCAAGCTGGCTTTGAACTCCCAGCAATCCTCCTGCCTCAGCCTCCCAGAGTGCTGGGATTACAGGTGTACACCATGACGCTGGGCTTGACCTCATTACTCTTTTCCTTGCTCGCTGTACTGCACACCCACTGCTTTTCATGGGGTGTCTACACTGGCTGTTCCTGCTGCCAAGAATACTCTTCCATACAGCTTGTTCCCTCATCTCCTTCTGCCTTCTAGTCTCCCCCCCCCACCCTACGTAAAAAATGCACCTGTAGCATACATGCCTTCTAATTTACTAGATATTGTACTTATCTCTAATTTACTAGATATTATACTTATTTTGCTTAAATATGTCTTCATCACTACACTGTAAGCTCCACACATGCGGGGACTACTGTCTAGTTTCTTCACTGCTAGAATCCAAGCCCTTCAATGTCTGAGACAAAAGGTGCTTAACTGGAGTTGCACGAATAAATCGCATTAGCTTCATTCATGTTTCCTAAAACATCCTTTACTTACCAAACTCTTCTCCCCAAGCCCTCCAAGTTGTGAACATCCCTTTTCATCCTGTTCCAACACACAAACATTAACTAGCCCTTACACAATGTTTACCTTGTGCTACTCAGCGGTGCGCTGTTTTCAAATACTGACTCATTTAACGTACATAATGACCACATGAGATCAATACTAGTTATTCCCATTGTCAGGATGAAGAGACTGAGGCACAGAAAGATCACAAACAGAAAGTACGAATTCGAATCCAACAATGAAAACTCCAGAGCAGGCTCCAAATAATCACAAAGCCGATAAACCACCCATCCAGCCTTTAACCTCGCCTCCGGCTTGTCGGCCACGCCCCCGGCACATTCCTAACCCCACCCCGCGGGTCGGCTCCGCCCACGTCCAGGCCCCGCCCACCTTCCTGCAGGCTCAGGCTCCTGGCGGCAGGTGAATCTTCGCGCAGCTCGCGCACGAAGATACCTTCTTTGCCTCCGCCCGCTACGTTGATCCCGCTGACCCCGGTGTGCGCCTCCGTTTCCACGATGATCTCCACCAACTCTGCTCGCCGCAGCTCCTGCGGAGGGTGGCGACGGGTCGCCATGGGGCTCCAGGACTGGATCTCGCCCAGAGCCCGCCATCGCGCTTTAAAGGGTCTCTTACACGGGCTCTCGGGACACAGGTCCTCGGCGCGAACCAAGCAGGACGTCCGGGCCACTCATCCGGCCTCTCCCCGTTAAGCGCGCTCCCGGGGGGGCGGGATGGGCGGCTCGCCCTCTAGGACTGGGATGGGTTGTGGTTAAACAGCTCGGTGGGCGTGAGCTCCTCTCTCCGTGCGGCCGTCGCGAGGAGCGGGGCTAAGAGGCGGGACTGGGTGGGGGCGGGGCCACGTCTTGGGGCCGGGACGCTTGGGGAGGGCGGGCCTAGGAGTTTGGAGCGGGATTCTAGAGCTCAGGCCGGATCGGGGAGGGGTTCTGTATGAGGGAGACCCATAAACGAAGGGCAGGATCGAGTTATGGGGGGATACCCCACACGCTGGGGATTGGACCCAGGGCCTTCTCACTGAGCTCCATCTAGATCATTTTTTTTTTTTTAATGTTTTTGAGACAGGGCCTTGCTATATAGTTCAGGCTGGGTTTGAACTCACTCTATAACCCAGGCTGGCTTTGAACTCGAGGTGATCCTCCTGCCTCCGCCTCCTCAATGCTGGGATTACAGGCATGCACCACAACATCCAGTTTAAAATTTTTTAATATTAAAAGTTTTTTGAAAAAAAAAGTTTTTTGAGACAGGGTTTCACTAAGTCACAAAAATCACCTAGACTGGGCTTTAACTTTTGAACTTACTGCCTCAGCCTCCCAGGGTACTGGAATTACAAGCACTTGTCACCACACCCAGCTTGGGGGGGGTTAATAATAGCAAAACAAGGGGCGATGTTGAGGCTGGAACTCCTAGGAGAGGACTGGACCCTTAGGCCACAAGGGATGGGGGAATGGGCGGTGGGACTTGCCCCCTGCCCCCTTGCATGTGTGTGAGACTGTGCTCTATTGTGGGCTCTTATAACCCCAAGACCTGCATAGCACCCACGGGAGAGGGAATCGGGTGGGGGTGCGTGGGTGATGAATGTGCGCCAGCGGTAGTGGCATTCCTGGTATTCACTGTAAATGTACAGACTGGCCCCAGCCCAGCATTGCTCCGTGGGGTTCACATCGAGGCTTCCCAGAAGAGGAAGTGAGAAACCTGAGATCTGTCTAGGAATCCAAAGTGCTGTGTGTCTCTGGGGGAATACTTTGCCCTCTCTGGGCCCATTTTTCCACTGTAAAGTTAAGTAGCCTGGGCATACTGGAAGGGGTCTGTGATTGTGGGCTGTGACCTGAAGAAGGGGACACGCTGTAGCCCAGGCTGGCCTTCAACTTGGTGATCCTCCTGTCTCAGCTTCCCAAGTGCTAGGATTACAAACATGTACCACCATGATAACTCCTACTTATGACCCACTGAATTAATTAGCTGCTTTGAGTCTTAGTCTTTGCCATGCAGTGTACTAAGCATTTTATATATGTTAATTTTACTTATTTATTTATTTTTGGTACCGCAGATCTAACTTGGGTCCTTGCGCTTTCGAAGCAGGTGGCGGAACCACTGAGCTAAATCCCTGGCCTACATGTGTTAATTTTAATTTTTCCCCTCATAGTTACTATTTCTAGTTCACAGATGGGGAAACCGAGGCACAGAGAAACCAGGAAGTCTCCTTGCTGCTGTTGTCGGGGGCCCATGAGTACTCACCTCCACACTCCGGCTCCTGGCCTCCATGGCTTTGCTGGGCGACTCCTGGTCCCAGGTTCTGCTCTCCCTTCTGCTGCAGGACCAGCTTCAGTTCTGCATGGAGCAGCTGCTGCTGAGCCTGTGGGGTCAGGGATAGAGGCCTGAGGCCAGGAGGGGCTGAGAGGTGGAGTCCAGGCTCCCCAGGAACACCAGGGTGGGCATCAGGGAGAGAAAAGCGCCCCTGCTGCCCTCTCACCACTGCCAGGGCACAGGTATGTCCTCCAACCAGGACCCCGGCCCGGGGTGCCACACAGCTGTCTGCGGGGCTGGTGCCCTTTTGCTGAGGTCTTGCTGCCTGCTGGAGAGAGATGGGGCATGAGGCTCCAGACTGGCCAGGGGTTGGCAGGAAGGGCCATGTGGCACCGGGCAGTGCTCACCTGAGGGGCACCTCCAGCTTGTTGGGCCGCCTGGGTCTGGGGCTCTGACAGAAATAATGTGCACAGTATTAACCAGCCAGCAACACCCAGTAGTGGCTTCCCAAGTGCCTGGCCCTCCCTGGGCTCTGCCAATTCACCGGGCCCCTAATGCAGGTAGGGAAAATGAAGTCCACAAGACATTCAGGTGACATAGCTAGTCCACCAACGGTAAAGCCCAAACTGACTCCTAGGCCTGTCCAAAAGCAGAGCCCTGTGCCAACGGCTTTGGCAAATTGAAGGTTCAAATTCTCTGAGAAATGATGACAGCTGCTTCCACAACCTGGCTGCTTCCCCCAAATTCTCTACCGAGTGGGGAACATAGGGGTGTGGCTCCGTGGGAAAGAGCTGGCCTAGCATGCTGGAGGCCCGAGGTGTCATCCCCAGTACCAAGAAAGACAGCAATGTAAGACTGGGAGAAGGCAAGTGCCCACCTCTTGGCGCAGCTCTGGGATTGCAGGACTTAACAGGTGTAAAGTAGCAGGCAGTGGCAGGTGTTGTAGGAGTACTTGCTGCTGTTATTGCTAAGAACATCCTGTGGTCCTGACCTTGGGCCACGTGCCCCACCAGCGTCATCGCACTGGGACCTCAGAATACCCCTGTGAGGTCAGGGCTATTACGGAGCCCATTACGGAGGGGACGCCTGAAACTGGGGAAAGGGCAATCATTTCCCTGGAGTGACATAGCAGCGGCAGGATTTGAACTTGTCTTCAAAGATCCAACCCTTTACTGAGTGCAGTGGCACACCCCTGTAATGCCAGCAGTCCGGGAGGCTGAGGCAGGAGGATTGCAAGTTGAAGCCCAGCAACTTGGAGAGAAACCCTGCTCAAAATTTTAAAAGGCTGGGGATATAGCTCAGTTCAAAGGCCCTGGGTTCAATCCCCAGTACTACCCCCCGCAAGAAAAAGTTCCGGCTCCTTATAAGGCTAGTAATAATAATGACCAATATTTATAATAACTGATGGTAGCTAGGAGTGGTGGTGTACACCTGTAATCCAGGCACAAGGGAGGGTGAGGCAGGAGGATCACCATGAGTTCAAGGCCAGCCCAGACTGCATAGTGAGATACAGTCTCAAAAACAAACAAACAAAAAAAAACCCAAAAATAAAATAACAGATTATTACCGAATGGTTATTATTTGCCAATTCTTGTGTTGAGATTTTCACCTTCCACTTCACCACTGAAGTCCTTGTCCCCTCAGAGGGACCAAGAGAACTTGTGCCAGGTCACAAGCACAGGGAGGACTCAGAGTCAGCCCTCAGGTGTCTCCTGCCAGACTCGGGGGGAGCATGGAGGTGGAGCCTTTCCCCACCCTGACTCTGGCCTTGCCCTCCCAGCCCCACCTGGCATGCCAGCCCGCCAACCCCCGGTGCACAGGGAAAGGTCAGGCCTCACGCGGCACATTCCCTCACACAATGGCCTGTCTGCTGGCCTGGTCACATTCCACTCCAGCCCACCCACCCGCAGCCACACAATGGCCCTTCATAGCCCTCCACTGGCCAGTACAGAGGACACGGGACCCCCTTGACATCAGCTGTAAATGCTCCGGGGAGGGGTCCCCCATGGTGTCCAAGAAGCTGCTCTCTGGCTCTCTTAGGGGATCGGTTTCTGCATCCATCCCCAGCCTCTCCTGAGACCTCTCCCAGCCTGGCTGCCCTGTTTGGGACGATTCCTCTGAGCCAAGGTCTTATGTCGCCACTCAGAGGCCTCAGAATCATCCTGGACGTGGTGGCTGTCCAGAGATGGAAACTGAGGCTCAGAGAGGGGAAGTGACCTGTCCAAGTCACACGACCAGGAACAAGCAGAACACAAACCCCCTGCACCCTGGACCTCTACTCTGTACCTAAATTCAGTGGGTGATGCTGAGCCCTGGGACGCCCAAGTCACAGAAGCCAAGCAGCTGGCACAGCAGCTGGGTTGGGGAAGGGACCCAACTTCAGAGGGCCCTGGTTGGTGCCGAGCCCCGCTGACTAGGACACATAGGGCCCCCTTTTGCTGGTGAGTGAAGCAGTTAAGACAGATATCACAGGACAGCCCAGCTGTGGGAAGCTCACCAGGACCCTGGCACAACACAGCATCAGGGGGACAGCCTGGGCTCAGTAGATGTCAGGGAGGGTCTCTTGGGCCCCGAATTCCAGCTCCAAGCTCAGGCGGTGAGTGTCACAGCCACAGGCTGCCACCGGAAGCCCTGGGAGGGCAGGAGCAAGACAGTGTCCTCCTTCCTTCTCCCTGCCCGGGACAGCTGCCCAGCCCAGGTTATATTTAGCCCAACTGTGGTGCCCTTCCTCAGTACAGCGCCAGCTCCTCCTCGGGTGGGGGAGCTCCGGAAGGAAACCTAACCCTCCAGGTACTCTCTGTTCCCAGGCCAGCCCATCGAATGAGGAAGGAGGGGGCTCCTTGACATAAACCAGGGCAGACCTATTGGGGTTCCCCTAGTGAGTCAGGACCAGGCAGGAGCCTACAGGCGCCAGCAACTCTGCTCTTCCTTGTTTCTCTTTTCTATACTGGGGATTGAACCCAGGGCCTTTGCCCTGAGCTACATCTCTAGCCCTTTTAAAAGGTTGGATTTTGAGCCAGGCATAGTGGCATGCACCTATAATCCCAGCACTCAGGAGGCTGAAGCAGGAGGATCATCTCAAGTTCCAGGACAGCCTGGGCTGCTTAGCAAGACCCTGTCTCGAAAATAAATAAATAAATAAATATTTTCTTTCGAGCCAAGATAGGCTCAAATCTGTGACTTTCCTGCCTCAACCTCCCAAAGTTTGACTGCCTTGCATGCACAAAGGCCCGAGTTCATTCCCTGGTACCAGAAAGAAGGAAAGAAAGAAAGAAAGAAAGAAACCACAGCCAAACCTCCCAAAGTAGTGGGAATACAGACACCGTACCCAGGTTCCAGCTCATTTCTTGAGTGGCTACTGAGGCCCTGCCAGAGTACAAGTTGGAGCTTCCAAAATTCTCAGGCTCCCTATTTCTTTCTCTTTTTTTTTGGTCCCAGGGATCGAGCTCGGGACCTTGTGCTTGCGAGACAGGCAGCATCAGGCTCCCTATTTCTTGAGCACTTACTTTTGGTGCAGAACCTTCCCTGTCTTGGCTCATTAAATCCTCCTGAGACGGGTACCACTTGGATGTCCATTTAGATCTGACTCGTGCCCTTCAGAGTGGCTGGGACGGAGGGGCTGCACCTGGGCCCTGGCCTTCCACTGAGCTGGGACTGCTAGGAATCAGCTGAAGGCTTTGTCCTTCCTGCCTCTACCTCGGTGGTGACCACCAGCTTCACTTGGGAATCCTGCCCAGTCAGTCCCAGCTTCCTCAGCCACCCAGGGACCAGTGCCCTCAGCAATGGGAGTGGGGGGACTTGGAGCTCATCTGAGGGCAGCTGAAGGTATGGCCTCTGGCTTCTCCAGCACTTCCTGAGTGTGTGGACTGGGCCACATTCTGCTCCTGTGGGCCCTCAGTTTCTGTGAAATGAAGCCAATAAAATTGGCTTTGAAGATTTGTGAGACAATAGCAGGTTCTTAGAATATTCTCAGTATAGAATAAATGTTCAATTAATATAAATGTCTCACATGCTCCCATATCTGGTCTTTGTTCCCCAGTGTCCTCTACTTTCCTTTCAACCTAAAGAGATCTTTGGGTAAGGGACAAAATTCAGCATCAGTGCCACCTTCCTAAACTCTATTTGAGACCCGGAAACCTGCCCTAGCTCCTCATAGCAGAACTCAGTTATGCTCACACCAGCCCTGCAAGGTGGTCTCCGTTGGCCCATTTTAGGGATAGGAAAGTAGAGGCATGAAGGTTGAATTATATTTCCCCAGGCTGCACAGTCAAAGGAAGCTGGGATTTGAACCCACAGCCTGGCTCTAAAACCTATGCCTGTCCCTCACACACCACCCTGCCTTCCAGAGCCCCAGCACCCTCCCAGACCTTCCAGAACTCTGGGTCTCATTCCCAAGGCTTCTAAGCCTGACCTGGGACAGGACTGGCTGGCTGATCTCTTACCGCTGGGCCTCCAGACACCACCGGAGCTCCTGGTCTGTCTGCACAGCCCCAGCCCTAGGCTGGGGGAAAAAGGAATGGAGGAGGGGCACCATTGGCTGCCTCGGTGTGATGTCACCAGAGGTGGGTGGTGGGGAAACAAACATCCCCTTCTCCCAGCTATAGCCATCCAAAAGGGGGTGGGAACGGAGAACACAGCCTGGCCCTGGCCCGAGCCAAGACCACCCCTCCCAGTCTTGCTACTGGGAGTTGCACGTGGTCGTTCAACTTGGGAACTTAGCACCCTGCCTTCACCATTTCCTGCTCCAGCACTGAGGCCTGGCCTGCATGTTTCCTAGGGTCCTCAGGACAGACACCTTCCACCCCAACAACCACTTCAAGTCCTAGCCGCTCTCTGGGCATCAGTTTCTTCATGTCTAAAGAGAAGACTAGTTAAAAATAGGCTAACGCCAGGTGTGGCGCACACCTGTAATCCTAGCACCCGGGAGGCTGAGGCAGGAGGAGTGCCTCAAGTTTGAGACCAGCCTGGGCTACACAGTGAGTTCAAGGCCATCCTGGACTAGGTGGTGAGACCCTGTCTCAAAAAAATAAATAAATAAATAAAGCAAAACAAAACACTGGCACATACTTAAAACTTCTGCAAATAACTATTCACAAATATTTAGAGGTCTGGTCCATCTTCTCCCCAGGCTCTTGAACCCTTTTTAGGAAGATTGGGCATAATGGAGACCCACATCTCTGTTTAGTGAAGTCGCTACTTGAAGGATACCTGCCAGGTGCTGAAAGCCATACTGAGAACCCAGGCCTCTGCCCTGAATCGGGGGGCGCTGATGAAGTCCAGTCTGCAGCCATGCAATCAGGAGGTTGTGCAGCTGGGCCCTGATCCTGGTTCTGATGGATCCCAAAGACTCTGCCACTCTCTTCTGTCCCTGCATTTCACACAGGGAAACTCAGAGAGGGTAAGTGGCTCACCTGAAGTCACACAGCAAGTTAGTGACAGCAGCTCAGATTTCAATCCAGATCTGCCCAACTCCCAAACCAAGGACACCAGACATGACTCCGACTCACAGGACCCGGGATCAGCCCCAAGCCTGCCCGACTCACCAGACCCCGAGGGATGGCAGAGGCAGCACAGGTACCCCCACATTCCCCTTGCACCCACTGCCTGCTGCCTCAGATGCCCGTGGCTCTCTGAGCAGGGGCCTGGGCTGAGGCCGGGCGAGGCTGGAGTGGGGGGTGTTACCCCCAAAACGCAGGTCAGCAGTTTCTGCCCCATTGTCCTGCCGGGCACAACACAGGCCTGTGGTGAGCACTTGGCCCCTTGCACAGCCAGCTTGCCCTGTGGTGGGCCCGCGCCCATCCCGCAGGGGGGCTGGGGTCTACTCTGCGGCTCGCGGGTCCAGGAGCAGGGTGGCAGGAGCCCAGCATGCTGGGGGCCGCCCCCTCCTTCTCTGAAATGCCCCCTGCCCACTCCCAGCCACCGGGGAAGGCAGGAATGTGCTGAGCTCGGGAAATGCCTCCCAGGGCTGGTGGCCACTGACGGAGGGGTGCGGCTGGAACCCGGCCAGCGCCCTCCTCCTGGGAGGGCTGGGAGGGACAGCGGCCGGGCAGAGGATGGGGCTGAGGCCCGCACCTCACAGCCGTCTCTCTCCTCCATAGATCCTCTCAAACGTGTTCCTTTCCTCATTCGCCAAACATTCACAATCCTACGCTGGGCAGCAGGGCCTTTGTTGGGCCCTGGGGACATCAGAAGTCCTCCATCCACTCAGGGGGCACCCAGGAAGGGTTCTGTGGGAGCGCACAACGGGAGGGAGACTGGGAGGCTGGGGAGAAGGGAGCCCAGGAAAAAGGGAGGGGACCCACAAGGAACAAAGCAAGACAGCGGGGGCTGGGCCGAGGAACCCCAGGCAGAGAGGGACCTTTTCCTGGAAAAGGTGGTACTGGAGCTGAGTGAGAAGGACCTGTAGGAGGCGACACAGAGCCTCAGGCGGTAATGGATGAGAATGTTCCAGAAGAAGGGCAGGGCCTGAGAAAGTGGTCAACCGAGAGCATGCGGAGGAGCAGGGAAGAGGTCCAGGGTCCACCAGACTTTGTCCTGAGGGCCCTGGGCAGCAATGGGAGGGACAATGCAGAGCACTCGGTGCCAGCCTGGAGGGGGAGAGGACCTCTCTCTGTCTGCTCAAGGCCAAACAGGAAAGGGAGCCTGGGACTCGCTGTGCTTCCCGTGTCACAGCAGCGAGGTCCTAGTTGGTTCCATTTTAAAGAAAGGCATTTAGTGGTACCGGATTTTGTTTGGGTTGGGTTTTTGTGAGTTTTGTTTGTTTGCTGTTTGCCATAAATAATGAGGGTAGCCAGGCACGGTGGCGCACACCTGTAATCCCAACACTGGGGTGGCTGAGGCAGGAGGATCACCTTGAGTTCAAAGCCAGTCTGGCTGTATAGTGGGACCCTGTTGTAAAAAACAAAAACAATGCTAAAGGGTCTGGGATGTAGCTTAGTGGCACCTCATCTGCCTGGCAAGTAGCTGGTCCTGAGTTCAATTTCCAGTACGAAGAAAAAAAAAATAATGCTAAAGCCCCGCATGGTGGTGCCTATCTGTAATTCTAGGTGAGGCAGGAGTACTGGTTGAGCCCAGAAATTCCATGCCATCCTAGATGACATAAAGAAACTGTCTCTCAGCCGGGCGTGGTGGTGCACGCCTGTAATCCCAGCACTCAGGAGGCTGAGGCGGAACAGTCGCTGTGAGTTCGAGACCAGCCTGGGCTACATAGTGAGGTCCAGATCAGTCTCAACTAAAAACAAAACAAAACAAAAAAAAACAAAAAAAAAGAAAGTATGTCAACTATGTCTCCAAAAAAAAAAAAAAAAAAAAAATGCTTGTCGTGTTCTCTTGTGGATGCCCTTAGGTTAAGGAAGCTCTCTTTCCTGGTTTGCTCTGACTTGGGTTTTTTGGTTTGTTTGTTCATTAACAATGGCTGTCATGTCTAGGTTCTCTCTGTCCTCTTCTCTGTCCCATCCTGTTCCTCTCTCCCCTTCTCTCTGCCTTATTTTCCCTCACCCGAGGGGGTGTGGCCACAGGAAGCTGAGTTTAGAAGGTGGCACAGTGTCCTGGTTCCGGACAAGGCCACCTCAGTAAACACAGGACATCCTGCGGGGCTGCGGAAGGAGGCGGAAGCACCCCCAGGGCCCACCCTCTCCAGACCCAGCCTGAACCAACAGCAGCTTCTCTGGCCTTGCCCCCTGTCGGGCCCAGAGCCCCAGGCAGTGCAACCCAGGGAAACCGTGCCCACTCCTGCGACCCGACTCCCTCCACTGAGCTCCAGTCTCAGGGGCCCAGAAGCTCTGAGGTGTCCCCTCCCGAAGTCCCTGGTACCCACTGTGTCCTTTCCTGGCTTCAGCAGCAACCGCAGACCTGCTGCTCCCCCTGGCCACTACCCCAGGGCTGGTTGTCCTGTCCTATGCCCCCTGCTTTCAGCCCAGCCTTCTCCTCCACCCCAGCTCACAGGGCTGTGTGGTTGGAGCCACCCTTGCGCCCCTGGTGTCCGTCCAGTGCAGGGTCCTCCAGGAGTCCTGTGGGGAGGGAGGTCTCTCCCTGACAGTCGGTACAACTGTGACTGGCTGTCCCCTCCCTCTTCCTCACTTGTTCCTGTCCAGAGGCGTCCACAGTGTCCCTTCCCTATGCTTCCCTTCCCAGGTCCCCATCCCTGGGCTCCTGGGTGTACTCTCCCCCACGCCCACCTGGCAGCCGGAGGGGTCCCTTTACCTCGAGCTTCCTAGCATCTTTGCTGCGAAGACCCCACTGAGGGCCGTGTGTGCCCTGGACCCCAGAGACCCCTCCAGTCCCATTACCTTACCACTTTCTTCTTCGTTCCAGCCAAACCCAGTAGCCTAGGTGCCCCTGAAAACCTTGCAGGGCCCTTGCACATGCTGTGCTCCCCCATCCCCCACAGCAGCCCTTCAAATTGAACACTGCTACTGTTCCAGTTTATAGACCAGGACTCTGAGGCCCAGAGAAGTTAAGAACCTTGCCTAAAGCCACACAGCCCTAGAGTGGTAAAGCTAGGGTATAAACCTAGGCAGCCTGGCTTTCAAACAGAACCACTTCTTTTTCAAGCATAACAGCTCATTGCTTCAATAGCATCAGAGAAAACCACCCCCATCTTTTTCTCTCTTTGTGCGGTACCAGGGATTGAACTCAGGACCTTGCACTTTCCAGGCAGGCACAGTGTCACTGAGCTGCATTCCTGGGCCAAATCGCTTTATTTCTACAACATATTTTTCCTTAGGCCAGCTTGTCCCCACTTAGGTGCAGTTATAGAGGCTGTGCACGTCACACAGTCTCCGTAGTGAAGAAGTACGTCCCAGGTGCCCCGCATTTAGACGACACTTTCCCTGCAGCTGGGGGTCAAGCACCTTGAGGAAGGGGTGTGTCTTTCGCACCAAAGCACCAGATGGGCTACAGGAGCCCTGGCTTACACCGGCTTGTGCCAGAGGACCTACCAGTCTCCTCAAGTCCAACCCCTTGGTTGTGCAGACTCTGGTCTGGGCTCCGCCCCAGGAGGCCGCACCTCCTCAGCCAGCAGATTCCAGGGCCCACACCATTCCGAGCTGAACCACCAGCCTGGCTGGGCTGTTCCCAAAGTTCCCCGAGCCTTTGTCTCTTCCAGTTGTGCCCCCCCCGCACCCCCCACCCCCTGCTCCCCGGCCAGCTCCCCTCCACCAGCCTTCACAGGACCCCACCACCAACGCACTCTTCCCTGACCCCTAGGAGAGCTGTGACACGCTGCTCTCTGCTGCCTTTACCTCCGTTTATTTATGTCTTTACGTGGTCCTGGGAGTGAACGCAGGGTTTTTGCACTGCGCTACCACCCCAGCCTTTTTTTTTGGTGGGGGGTTGAGACAAGGTCTCACTATGTAGTTGAGACTGACCTGGAACTCACTATGTAGCCCAGGCCATCCCAGCCCTTTTTGTCTTTTATCTTCAGATAATCGCTTTCTAAATTGCTCTATTGTCCAGACTGGGCTCAAACTTGCAATCCTCCTGCCTCAGCCTCCCAGAGTGCTGGGATTTCAGGCGTGTGCCAGCCTCAAAGCCAGACTCTCCTCTCTCCTCTTTTTCCTTTCCTTATTCAACAAAAAACTCGAGTACCTTTTTACATCTGGCCCTAGGTGAAAGGTTATATCTGACCATGTCTCACTCATAGTGGATGTCTCTGCAGGCGTCACGGATTACTCCCCCGCCCCGTTGCCGCTGGAGCATCAGAAGCGTCCCCAAGCACTCGGTAATGGATTATTGCTGACCCCGGCCCGCAGGACAGATGCCCCCGAGGAGGAGGGGAGGCAGGGCCCCAGATCGGGCACCAGGGGGCGCTGCTGAGCGCCACCCAAACTGCGGAGGTCTCGGTCTCGGTCTCAGCCGCCCCGGTCCCCCAGTCTACGCATGGGAGTCGCCAGGGGTTGGCATCTGGCGCCTGGAAGGCTCTCAGCCTGGGCACCAGCTCTCCGCAGCCTTTCCCACCCGCCGCCCCGGCGCCCTCAGCCACTTCCAGAAATGGGCACCACTTC